AGGGGGGCCCTTAAGAAAATAACAAAAGAAACATTCATTTAAGAGTATGAAAAAAAGTGGGGTACATTACTTCAGAAGTTTTTTACGCAAACTACCAGAAGCATTCGATAGCTCTTAAAGCAGCCACAAGGTCATAAGAAGCTGGAGTATTCCCTGGAAAACTCTATATTCCACGTAACTTTTTGGCTTTTTTGTCTTCAGTTGTTGACTCTTATGTCTTTTCTTCGTATGATACTTGTTACTTTCATTCTTATTCTTTTGTTAAAGTTACTTAGTTCTCTTACTAATTTTTCCGTGTGACGACACAAGTGGTATACAAGGTATATTGCTTTTGTCTCAGTCTCTGTAATTCTATTATAATAGATTGCATAAATAAATAAATAAGTAAATAGTCTTCGAACGCTAAAAATGCATTCTAGCAGAATTCTGGCATACGCCGAGTGAAGTGTTTAAATGCTCATCGTATATGTAGTCATTAATAGGACAAACTCACGTACTTTCTGAATTTTAGCTGGAGTGCCTTCTTCGTTTCTTGTATTATCATAAATTCTAATCATTTGCTTGTACTTTTCATTATATTCATTTCTAAAGGCTATTACTTGTGGTTCATTATAATAACGATCATGATAATCTTTTAATTTCTCTTTATCTTCGGTATTTAATAATGGATATTTAATTACTAAATAAAATGCGGCCCAAGCAGGATGATGGATAGTTATAAAATTGTTTATTGTTTTATCACTTGTAAAACATCCAATATGATTACTCAGCAAACATTGATTAATATCTAGAAAAGAAAAAAAAGAACGAACACTTTGATGAAACTCTATCTCTTACTGATGAAGAACAATGCTTGTACAAATTATAGTTTGATAGAGCAGATAAAACTATAAACAATATCATGCTGCTTTTAGAACGTTCAGTTAATCTTAACATGTGAATGTGTCAATCTTTTTATATCAAGTATACCTGCACCAGAGGAACCACATTCTGCACAACAGTTATGCTGATGAATACGTCGAATATTTGCATTATCCTATAGTCCAGTTTCTCCGAACGTTAAAAACTTTTGATTCCAACCTCCAAAAGATTGCTCAATTTCCTGTTTAAGTTCGGAAATATTCTCTGCTTTTGCATGATGTGGTAATTTATCCTGATAATAATATTTGTATGGGTCCTAAATGTTAAAAAGATTAAAAGTAACGCTGTATTACATATACTAATGTAATAACCTTCATACCTTCCACTCCACTAGCATAAGTAATCATTCCAACGAAGCGACCAGTTGAAATGTTATCAAATGTACCATTATCATACGGCAATAAATACTGTGATTCTTCATCTGAATATATTTTGAAAAAACAAAAATCGTTTATCGTTGACCACACTTTCAATTGTGGATTAATATTTACATTGACGGGTGTTTTATCAAGCTCGTCAAAGTATTTTGCTAATAAAAATGATTCAATAGACAATCGCTAGGCCATATTTGGAGATGGATTCATTAGAATATTAATTGATTTGGCATAAACATCATTAGAATATCGATATAATTGTATTTTATGGCGTATGTCAAGCTTCGAAAATAAATGAGTACAAGTGATAACAATAAAAATGTCTTCTCTGTTGAGCGCTCTTTTAGTAGAGGTGTCAAACGAACTGCTGTGATATCTCCATAACCCTGTTCAAGTGGATATGTTGTAGCCAAAACTGGAATTCAGTCATATCTTAGATTTCCCTAGCCAAAACTAAGATTCCACTTTTGGCTAACAATTCTTCAGCCAAAACTAAGATTCCACTTTTGGCTAACAATTCTTCAGCCAAAACTAAGATTCCACTTTTGGCTAACAATTCTTCAGCCAAAACTAAGATTCCACTTTTGGCTAGCCAAAACTGAGATCAGTCAAATCTGAGATATAACTAGTCAACTAGTGGTATATCAATTAAAACTGAATTTAACTATAGTATTATCACGCTCTTGGTTTCTCGGCTATAAACTACAGATGTATTTCGTAGGATGATTTTTTTCTATATTCTGTAGCTTATAGCCGATACTTATCTACTTAACCGCGTAAAGGCGGCATGATATCTAAGTAGTACTGTTTTTTGGGAGATTTTTGTTTTTGTTTTCCGTCTCTCTTCATTAGTTAATATGTCCAAAACATTGATCAACCTTAAATGAAACAAACAAAGAACAAGAGCAAAATGACAATAAAGCTATGTACAGTATTTGATGAGTTCTGTCCTAAAAAAAATGGTTTCAATACTTCACTCTAAACTTTGTCAAAAGAAACAAGTTCCTAGAAGGACAATCAACTATTGACATTTTTTCTTAGTTCCTCATTATA